GGGCTAGGTTAAGCCCTTTAAGCTTGAGTAATGTTTAAGTCAACTGAATACATAGTGAAGTTTCATTCTGTATGAATGTCTGTCTGTCTGTCAATGAAATGAATAAAATGAAAATAAAAGTAAGCTTTAAAACACCCTACAAACTTAATCAGTAACAAATTGTAAATCGATTTAAATATATTCGCTTGACGGTCTGTGGAAAATATTCGCAAAATAAATCGCAAAAATTTATCGCGCGATCTTGAATTTGATAAAAAAATATTGAAAATTATTGCGGGCAGGTTGATATTGATAAAAAAAGTTTTTTTTTTAATTTTTTCACTTACTTGTCTTACTCTGCCAAAAGTAGTAGATAAGCGGAACTAAGAAACTTATCTAACGTTTAGATTTACGCAATAATGTTAAGTTTCAATAAATGTTCAAGTCGATGTTTCGTTTCTTCGATAATATTAGTAATTTTTTTTTTTGTAAACTTTTTTTCAGCAAAATCTTTATATATATAAAAAAAAAAAAAAAAAAACACTTCACGTCATCATCCAATATCTCAAAACAAAATTATTTGCAACGAAGGACGAATGTTCCAAATACTGCGAGCCAAGAACTTTCCTAGAGACAACGAGAATATTTTATTTTTATTCTAATTTATAGAGCAACGGTCTAACTGCCTAGCAGCCAAGCAGCAGGTAAGAAAGAAATTATGTTATGTTTAATTCACGCTAAACATATAAACTCCATTTAATTGCTCTTGAGAAACCATTCTAAGTAACGATCTTCTTTTCTTTTTTTTTGCCAAATGTTCGTCATATGCAATTCTTTGCTGCTTACTTTCGCCATAAAAGGTCTGAAATTTTGAACTTGTTGTTATGTTAAGACCTACTTTTAATGAGTTTGCTCGTGTGGAAGAAGAGAAAGAAGAAGAAGAAGAAGAAGAAGAATATATCGAAAATTAAAACCTGTCCAATCACACATACAGTAGATATCAAAAAATGTAAATTTTCTTCCTTTTCTTTTTTTTTTTTTTTTTATAATGATTGTGTGAATGTATAAGCGATGCGTAGGGAAAGAGTTTGTAGAATTCATTTAAAGTAGTAGTAGTAGTAGTAGTAGTAGTAGTAGTAGTAGTAGTAGGAGGGCCCATTCTTGAGATCATGTACCAAATCTCGCCAGAGTATTGCAAAAAATTTCATCCTCTACCTCTGACGAACAGTTAGAGACATAGACGGTAAAGAGTCGATGCAAGAAATAGTCCTGAATGAGATCGATGTAAGAGACATCATCTTCACGCTACCGTTTACATCCGCACCAAACTTAATATATATATAGATCGAATTGATACACCGACTGACATATCCAATAACGATTTTCATTTTTTTCCTTTCATTTATTGGTTAACCTACACCGACCCGAGCTAAACTTATCAGAACGCCCTATATTTCACCTATTTATGCCCCAGTTATCGAAAAGTACGCTAGACTAAATTTGGCTTTCCGTTTGCAACATTCAGAAGCATTCGTCATAGACATAGAATATATTGATTCTCAATCATCATAAGATTCTATCCATTCTAGCCATTTTTCTTCTCTTCCTATTGGGGCTATGCGGGGCAGTTATATAATCAATTAATTAATCGTAGCACTCTGCCTTCGCAAATTGATTTTGAAAATAAACAAAAATATCAAACCGATCCCGTAAAACATAGTTCTGCTTTTTTTGGGCGTTAATAGTTAATATCAATACATAAAGGCGGGGCAGTTATATCATCAACTAGTTAGAATGCTTAGAACTGATTTATCACAATTGTGAACAGTTGAGGCTATCGCTCTTATTACCTCTTCTTTCTTGCTTTTTATTTTCTTTTCATCATTACATGGGCCTTTGGGAAAATTTTTTAAATATATATATATATATATATATATATATATGTGAGAAAATACATTTTAATTTAAACGCTTTTGTTAAAGCTATGACATGATTTAATTTTTTATAGAACGAAGGCAAGAAGGTACGTACACATTTTGTATATCATACGAGCATTTTGGCCCCAACCAGTCGATTCAATTATTTTTTTTAAATCTGCCAAGCTAAAGGATAATATAAGTACGATATACGTATAACGTATTTAACGTCCCGTTCGAATGTCTGCTCGTTTGCCCATTTTCAAGTGTGTGCGTGTGCGTGTGCGTGTGTGTGTGTTATTAGCAGCATCTCAGGATATTAGATGAGAGAGGGAATGCAAAATAAAAACGAAACATAGACAAAATGGCAGTTTGGCGTCAGTTTGCCGCGCCAATTGAGATTTCATGGCGGCTGTTTTATAAGTAAAAGCACACACGCACACATAACAAAAATTGTTGATGATAGATGTTGTTTTTCTAATGTTTGTTTATATAGTTTTTTGACAAAATAAAAAACAAAAATTTTTCTTTTAAAGAATAACCGAAAAGACAAAAAAAAAAAAATACATATCCATGTTTTATATATATATATATATATATATATGTATGTATGAATGGGATAAAGTGTAAAAGAATGAATTTTTATTACTTCATAAAAAATTTTCGGTATCTTGTCTTATAACGTCTCTTCATATAATCTTTGCATTATATGATCGCAGTGTAAATTCATTAATCAAAACTGATTAACTAGACTTCGCGTCGAAACAAAAACAAATACAAAAATGAATAAATAAATAAAAGTGTGAGTTTTTTTTTTGTTTTGTTTTCTAAATTAAAAATTGACAAACTAATTAGATGATAAGCGTTTCGCTTTAATAGGTTTAGCATGTTACAAAAACAATATATTTTCACGCTGGGCGCACACAACAGTTCATCTAAGAATAAACAATAATAAGATATTCTTGTTTTTTACGCATTATACATTATTCTTAGCGACCACAGGGATTTTTTTTGTACCCACCATTGAATGTTGGCTGGATATTATTTGAGAAGGTATACTAAATTTGTTATTGCCTGCCTTCCTTGACGATTTCGCAAAGTACAGAGATGAATTTAATTTTGGCATTCTTTCGATTTGTCTGTCCGTTTGTCCGTTTGCCTGTCTTTTTTTTTCTTTTTTTTTTTTTTTTTTTTTTGAAAATCTTTAAAGTCCAGGAACGTTTAGGCAAAAATGTGTTATTTCTTATATACCGTCGATACCCTTATAAAGGTCAAGTGGGAAATTACCTTTGAATTGCCTACAAGTGCCTTGGTGAAACTTAGGTAGGACTTGATTAATGAATTGAAACTAAAATTTGTTATTTATTTGAGATTTTATGATGAATATTAAGCAATGCCGTTTATGAGTTCGATCGGAAAAGGTTGAAATACCATCAGCCCGTTAAAACGTTTGAATACTTATAAAGAATCTATATATATATTTATATATATTTATATATATTTATATTTATATATATTTATATATATATATATATATATATATATATATAGATTTATTTGATGTGATGGGTATTTAAAATTCGCTCCAAGATGAGCAGTATTTATTTTTGTTTTTTTTTAGTTGTTTTCCGCTGCTTTGCATGTTATAACAAGAAATGGTTTAAGAAATAATTTCATTGTAGCACTTTGCCACCAACCAGGCCGACAAGCGACATTTACATCCCTCGTGTTTTTTTTTTTTTTTTTTCGTTCTATTGTTTTCTTTCGGCTTAGCATGCCATCCCATGATGACTAGGCACTAGCAGTAAGGAAATATAATTTACACAGTTGAAGATTTTCACGTGATGACAATAGCATTGTTGAGCTGTTGTTGTACGAAGTGCCCTCTGCCGCAATAAAAGTAAAGTACTTAAACTATATATAATAATATATGATTGAATTGAAAAAGACTTGAGTAATTTTCAGTATTATGTATAAGTGACACTTTAATTTTGAGCGAAATTTTTATAAAAAATTATAAACGAGCTTGATTAGATTATCCATTGAGTTTATATATAGTGTTCAAGATTTTTTTGTTTATTATTCGGAAATAGTACGAAGGGGATGATGTGGTAGCTTTGATTTGGATTTTGGCTTTAGTTTTCAATACAAAAAAAAAAAAAAAAAAAAAAAAAAAAAAAAAAAAAAAAAAAAAAAACACTCAAATAACGTTCTGATCTGAGCGGTTACAGTTAAGCATGTTTACATTGTCACTCGTAACGCGACCAGCATCTCAAGGATCATAAAGGCATTTCCGTTGGAGCATGCGTCGTTCGCCATACTAGACAACGGTTTGTCGTCGCATTTTACTAAGGACTAGTAGGTGGAATGATTTTTCCGACAGAAACTTGCGATGTGTCGTCGACTAAACACATCATTTTAGGCCTAACCACAGATCGGAAAAGACATTCTTAGGAAAACGACAAACTCTAATAATCACTGTCATTGCAATATAAAAAAGAAGAAAAAAAAAAAAAAAAAAAAAAAAAAAAACAGCAGCAATCACAATAATATAATATATATATATATATATATATATATAGCAGAGCGGGCAGCAGTGCTTTTTGTTATTTGGCCATAAACAGGCCTCACAATTATATCAATTTTTAAATTAAATTAAAGTGTAGTGCGGCAACGAAATATGTTGCATTAATAAAATCCTTAAAGTGCCTCTTCTCTAATATTTAAATAACGCGTACTTATACGTGTGCTTAAAAGTGCCTTACTGGGCAATGTGAATAACACAATTCCATTGCAGTCGCCTTTAGAATGTAAATTCTTTAAAAGCTTTACAATTTTTATTTATATTTTTACGTTCCGCGTTTTTTTTTTTTTTTTTTTTTTTTTTCTTTTATCTAATTTTCGCCGGATGCCTTAACCGCCAAGCTAACTAACATCGCCTTAGATACCATAAAAATGGTTAAAAATTAAAAAAAAAAAAATAAATAAATAAATAAAAAAGAACAAATTTTTTTTTTTCTATAAATCTTTATTATTGTTGTTGTTTAAATTGCATTTATTGTTATATTGCTTCGTTAATTGTTACAAAAAAAAAATAAAAAATAATAAAAAAAAAATATATATATATATATATTGTTGATGATGAAAAACTTTTGCTATTGTAACGTTTCACTGACGGCAACGTTGCTAAGCTTAACTGTCACCACAAACGTGCCTATGCCATAGACATTCCTGCGCTGTAACATAGATTCGAAATTTTAATACATTTTCGAATCACAGTTCCGCTGTGGAATAAAGCGATATTTTCTATAATAAAAATATCCAATAAATAAACAAAGATGCCTTCACAGTTTGCCTATTTTACAACCATTATGTGCCTAATAGTCAGTAAATGTTTTTTCAATCTTAAAAGCTTTAATCATTTTTTTACAAGTAAGTAATTTGAATGAATAAAAAATGGGAAAACAAAAAAAAAAAAATAAATAAAATTTTATTTGAAAATATTGATTCTTTGCGATCTATATAATGCAATATACTTTTTAGATCGATTGAATCAAAGAAGAAAATTTTTTTTTTTCTTTTTTATTTATTATCATGTTAAAATTTTTTTTTTATTTTTTTATTTTTTTTTTATTTAAAAAAAATCAAAGAATTATTTAATTAAAAGTAAAAGAATTATTATCGCCCCAAAAAATGATTCTTAAATGTTAAGTGTATAAATATTTAATGGAAAATTTATATTGAGATATACTTAGCGTATAGTAGCTTAGTAAAATTGCAAATGTATGATGTTTGTGAATGAATTTCGTTTGAGATTTTTTAAGAGTACATATGTCACATTTTCGATTTCTATCATGATCATGATATGGTAAAAGGCAGACGCATGGACGGATACGCATCGCATTCCATAAAGAATTTTTAACTCGATAAATAGAAACAAATTGTTTGAAAAGGTTGACGAATTTATTATTTACAAACTGAAGCGTTTTGTTTTAATTTCAGTCAATAGTTAATTTTATTTTTCAAAAAAATGATAGACATAAGAATGTTTTTTTTTTTTCCTTCTTGACTGAAAACATAAACAATTGCAAATAGATAAACTTGATACGAGTTTGGAGATCTTTTTTGACACCACAACTCAATCATTGGGTAAATATGTATATATATATATATATATATATATAGAGATAAAGAGAAAATAATCAAAGAAATCGAATCTCCTTCAATAACTTATAGTAAAAGAAAATTAATTCAATAGCAATTATTCGCATTCCTTAGGAGAAGGAAAAAAAATTTCCTTCTCTTCTCTTTTTTTTTTTTTTTTTTTTTTTTTTTTTTTTTTTTTAATTGAATTTCCTTTTGCAAACGCTAATGAAAACAGTTTAATCATCAATTCTCGTATGGTTTCTTTAATACAATTCTGCAAATATTTCTTGCATGTACGTAATACCTTTACAACGAAATACACAGAAGTACAGAAGTTGGTCAAGTTATTCGCTTTGTCGCTGTTATGTTGCGTGTGCATTTTTAATTTTATGACAGGATTTGTCGATTCGCGTGTAATATAAGTAACAACGGCCCGGTTTATGTTATGCAATTGAGAATGTTAGCTATACAACGCCCCAGTTAGTTCCTGTGAACTAAAGCATATTTGTTTAAAGTTTTGAAATTTATTTCTTAACATAAATAAACCAGCAATGGGTATCAAAAGTTTCGATCTAAGTCGAATATAATTATTTTTTTCTTCTTCTTCTTCTTCTTATTTTTGTTATCATTGTTATTGTTATACTGATTGACTGAATGTATTAATATGTATATATAGATATATGAGTGCAATATAAACAAAAATATATGTACATGTTTGCATAAACAATATAGGATTTCATATAATCAGCATATGATTCCAATTTAAACATAGAGCATAAAAATTTGAATTCACATACGCGCTACGCATTGTTTCCTTTATTCGTTCGTTATTGTAAATAGTGTAAAAAGTGAAATATGATACATTAGTGTCGTTTTATATATATATATATATATAAAACATATATATATATATATACATACATATATATATATATATATATATATATATGTATATATATATATATACATATATACATATACATACATATATATATATATACATGATTTTTAGTTAATACGCGTCGTCTCTCTATTTGCGTGAGCGTGCATGTATATAATAATAATCATATGTGCTTGTTAAGGGAGCGAATGTATTGCAAAAATTCTGATGCCTTAGCCGTTGATTAACTGCAATGATGGTGACATGGTTAAAAGAAAGAAAAAAAAAAAAAAAAAAAATACATACATTCATCCATACAGGCATGGATTCACGAATTCATATATAAATATATACGCACAAACGCGCGCATTTATAAACATGAATAAATTTCTATATTACTCTATACCACTTGTTGTTTACTGTGTAAGCGTTTGTTACAGTTTCCCTCCCCACACATCAGATATTTCTTCGGAACATTTTGGCTGATAAACACACATACGTAAATGCAATTATGTAAATAATTACGAAAAAGAATTTTACTCAACTATATAATAAGTAAACTAAGCATAACCTAACAGATTTTTATTTAGCTGATCGGACGGCAGTCGAATTATATTAACTCAAAGATCAAAAATGTTTATTGAAAGTGTGGAGAGTGTCTCTTGAGGTTACAAACAAACCTCAATTTTTAAGGGTTTTATTTTTCGCTTTTTATTACAATGAGAGAAAATAAGAATGAACTATAGAGAGAGAGAGAGAAAGAGAGAAAGAATGAAAAAAAAAAAAAAGGAAAGGAAAGAGAGCGCCAGCGCATCTTTATTTCAATTAATAGCATCCTGATTATTGTTTTCAGTTAAAGCATCCCTTGCAATGAAATCTACTTACGTGTCTGTGTATGCATAGGGAAAAATCTTGCATAAGACCGCTTTTCTAGATATCATCAACTCAGACAAGATTCCAGTTTTACTTAACACTTCAATGGAAAAAGACGTCTCTTTTAAAATAAATATAATAATATTTATAAATTATATTATTGTTGTTGTTGAGCATATTTTGAACATTTAAGAAAAGAAAAAAAGTAAAGAAAAGAAACGTTCAGTTCAAATAAGAATAATTGCAAGTGTTAACAACGAATCTTTTAATGATAACAAAAGTATAAAAGCAGTAATATACATATCTACATATATATATATATATTTCATTACAAGTTTATCTGGTTTAAGTTTAAGAAAAAAAAAAAAAATTATGGAAAAATCGTTTAACGATTTTAAAATTTAATATCGATTTTATTTGCAATCATCCCCCATCCGTTGTTGGTGGTATTACTTGATTCATATATTATTGAATTTGTTCTCTCATTGTGTAGAAAAATCTATAACAATATTATGAATAACCGTGCACATACACATACATGTGCATATAATTAAACATTTTTTCAACTTGATATTACTAAGTACTAGTGATAGAAAGGAGAGAAGGCCTTAATATATATATATATATATATAACAAGAGGCTAGCGAAGGAGCGAACTACTTTTTCATAATTATGTTAAAAAGAAAACGCCACAGAAATTGTAAGACATCTTCTATGCTTAGTATTCAATATCTCTTTTTATCATTTATCGTTTTTTTTTTTTTTTTTGCCTTTCGTTTCGTTTCTTGCGCGAGTATCCTTATAGGGTGTTGAACTATTGTTGTGATATTTACACATGCCAACGTACATATAGAAAACGAATCGCCTATTATACGCCTACGTGAATGTAAAAAGAGTCAAGTTGAAAACATTACTACTTCCGTTTCAATTATTCGTCTACGTTCAGCCTCAGAAACAAAAAAAAAAAAAAAAAAAAAACAAAAAAAATCATATCAAATCAAATCAACTAAGGGCAATTTTGTTCGCTTTTAATTTAATAATAATTTCAGTGATATCAGAGATCAGAAAGCTTAAAAAATTCAAATTTTTATTTAATTATGGATTTATTTATGCTCCCGTCTGCTACGCTACATCCACATCGAATTTCGAGAAGGGAAATAACATTTTTATTATCGACGAAAATCAATTTTCCTCCTCCAAATGACACGTGGACTATGATACATATAGCAACGTGACGAGAAGCGCTTCTTTCTCTGACAACTCAATGCAAAACATGCCTGAAATTCTGTGTTTAGTTTAATTATAAAAAAAAAAAAAAAAAAAATAAAAAAAAAAACAGTTAATCATAACAATCAACTTAACAAACAAATGTAAATGACTGGAGTTAGAAAAAATTAATCAAAATATGAAAGGATGTCGTGTCGTGTAGCATCCAAAATTCGAATCGTAGATCAATGATGTTTAACTCGTTAAATTCTTTATAAGTAGACCGAGAAATTCCCCATTTCCTTATATTGATGACCAGAGCAGAAGAATATGTTTTCGTAAACAGATAATTTTGTTAACTATTACGCTGTCTACTCTTCCTCTCTCTGCCTTTGCGATGAGCTTTTGATTAATTTCGAATTTCGAATATTATTTAAAAAGGAAACAAGATAGACTGGAGTTTGCGAATATAAAACGAAATTTATATTCATCTACTGGTTTTGATAAAAGACGAAAAGCATTATTTTGTTATTATTGTTATTAAAGTTGTTATTAGAAAATAATTTATTAGTGTAAAGTAAGTAAAATGATTAAATTTATGCAGATTGTTATGTGTAGATGTATCGTAGCGGCATTTACATAGGGGAGAGCTTCTCCGTGCGCGTCAGATAAAGCAACTATCGTTTATAAACGAGACCATCGAGTAAATAAAACACGTGTGTGCGTGTGGGACGTCGGCTATTTAACTGCGCTGCAGGGGTGGGTTCTTGAACTTTATGCGATGCGTTAGTTTCTTCTGGGCAGTCAGTAGCTATCAGCGCTCGGTATTAGTGTGACAAGTTTCTTTTTTTTTTTTTTGTCTTTTTGAAAAATAAAAAAAAAATCTGTTTCATCCTTTTTTTTTTTTTTTTTTTTTTTTGTTAAAATTCAACATACATACATACATACATACATACATACATATATCGTTATTATGCTTTTACCGATTTTTCTATTTCATTTTGTTCGGTCTTTGTTCTTCTTATTTCATTCATTTAATGGATTGAACGTGAAGTGCCCTTTATTATAAAAAAAAACGTAAAAAGAAAGCCTGCCATAGATTTATTGCTTGTACTACAACCATTTAATACCAATAAAAGCAGAGGCAGCAGTGCGAGCAGTGATAAACACAATAAGCGAAGAATAGAAGAACGAGAGAAAAATGTCGACTTTGTCGCTGCGTATAAGTTTAGAGGGAGGTCGTGTTACGAAAACCATACAATTCCATCCAAATACAACGGTCTTCGATGCCTGCAAAATAATCCGTGATAAATTTGCTGAAGCTGTGCAAGGCCAACGTAAGTACAGAAGATATTTGTAATAAACGAAGGAAAACAGAAAAACAAAGAAAAAAAAAATCTCTCATTAACGTTTGCCTCATAATTACTCTCTTGCAGCCAGCGAATATGGCCTGTTTATCTCAGATGAGCAAAACCAGCAAGGCGTGTGGCTCGAGGCTGGACGCACATTGGGTTATTACATTTTGCATAATCAGGACACATTGGAATATCGGCGTAAATTACGTACACTGCGTGTGCGTATGTTGGATGGTGCTGTGAAAACCATATTGGTTGACGATTCGCAGCCTGTCTCCCAACTGATGGTGGTTATATGCACTAAAATCGGGATCACCAATCACGAGGAGTATGGTCTGGTGCGCGAAGAAACCGAATCGCAAAATGAGAATTTGCCAGACAATAAATTTGGTACTTTGACGTTACGTCGCAAGTTTACCGAAAAGGATCGAGATGCTAAAATGGAGAGTTTACGAAAAAAATTAAAAACCGATGATGAAAGTGAGTTTCTCTTTATTCCCTTTATCGTATAAGAATGCGTTTAGTGAGTCGTTATTTTTTTTCATGCACTTTCACGCAGTTAATTGGGTTGATGTGGGCAAAACATTACGTGAACAGGGTATCGACGAGTCGGAGACAGTACTGCTGCGTCGTCGTTTTTTCTTTTCCGATCAAAATATCGACTCACGTGATCCTGTTCAATTAAATTTGTTATACGTGCAAGCACGTGATGCTATATTAGATGGCACACATCCAGTCACCCAAGAAAAAGGTAAATAGTTCTCTCTTTCGTTCTATTCTCTATGCATTATAATGCAAATTGTCTTTTTTTTCTTTTTTTTTTTTTTTTGTTGCATGCTTTTATAGCCTGTGAATTCGCTGGCATACAAGTGCACATACAATTTGGTCCTCATAATGAAGCTAAACATAAACCCGGTTTCTTGGAGTAAGTTTTTCGTTTTACGTTTCTCGTTTTTCTTTTTCTTTTTTTTTTTGTTTTTTTAGTTTTTTTTTTTTTTTTGGATTTGTCTAAATCGCGTAGTTTTATCTCTTTTTTTAATTGACAGCTTGAAGGACTTTTTACCTCAATCGTATGTGCGCGTAAAAAATATTGAGAAGAAAATCTTTGCTGAACATAAAAAACATGTTGACTTATCGGAAATTGATGCCAAAGTTTTATATACGAAAACAGCTCGGGAATTACCTACGTATGGTGTCACGTTCTTTTTGGTTAAAGAAAAAATGAATGGCAAAAATAAACTGGTGCCGCGTCTCTTAGGCGTTACTAAAGATTCGGTTTTGCGTTTAGATGAACGTACTAAAGAAATTTTAGTATCATGGCCATTAACTACGGTCAGACGTTGGGGTGCTTCACCCAATACGTTCACATTGGATTTTGGCGATTATGCTAATCAGTATTATTCAGTCCAAACAACGGAAGCCGAACAAATTGTTCAGTTAATTGCCGGCTATATTGATATTATAATGAAAAAGAAACAAACCAAAGATCATTTTGGCATCGAAGGCGACGAGGGTTCTACAATGGTGGAAGAATCGGTAGCGCCTTCTAAGTAAATTAAATGCAAAATATCTGCAATTTTATGATTTTTACATTAATATTTATTAACTTATTATAGAGCCACATTTTTGCAACATGAAACAAATAAAATTGGAAAAATTAACACTGAATCTTTAGCTCACCCGGGCCTGATGCAAGTCAATGATGGTATGTGTAATATGCGCGGTGTAAATTAACATTTATTAGTCGCGTTGCTTTTTAGCTTAATCTTTGGTTTGATTTCTTTAATTTTGTACTCTTTGTTTATTTATGTGTTTTTTAATTTAAATTAAATGTATCCTTAGGCGAAAAATCGTACATTCAAGGCGAATTGCAAACTGTTCAATTCGGCGCATTTGTTGGGCAAGTAAATCATGCCCATCAACCGCCCACGGTAAGTGCACTCTTTTTATTAGTTTCATTGCAACTCTCTTTTATATACACTTTCACACTTACACATATGCACAAACACCACAAATTCTATTTATGTTGCTATTTTGTTAAAAAAAAAAACTCATTTTTTTTTTTTAATCCATTAATTCTATCGTAATTTCAAAAACTAACAAATATTCATAATATTTCTATTTGATTACTGCTGCCCTTATAAGAAAGCGCCAAGTTTCACAGAGTAGGTGTCATAAATATTCAATTGAAAAATCCTAACATAATCTGCATAGTGATTGATAACTGGTAGCTGATTGGTTAATTGATATTTATTTTATTTTGTTTTTGTTTTTTTTTTTTTTTTGTTTTTTTTTCTTTGTTTTGTTTTTTGCAGTCGAAAGAAGTCCGTATTAGCTCTGTGAACTTGACGGAACCTCAACGAGCTCTATTAGGTTATATTTCGGCCGGTCAAGATGTAATAATGCGTGCTAATGAAGAATTACGAACGAAGGTAAATTAATGATCTGACTTTCAATATTATTTGTGATTGTTGTTTATTTGCATTTTTCTTGCAAAGGCACCCATTCAAGAACTCGGGAATGATATGCGTTCGATAGAATGGCGTGAGAATACTCTCGATACTTCTAAACAGGCAGTTACAAGCCATGTAGCTACGATGAGTGCAGCCACAGCTCAAATTATAATGGCTACGCAACCGGATGAGATAGATACTGAAGCCGTTTCAGCTTCGGTCTCACAAATCACACAAACTATACCTGAAGTAACGAAAGAGGTGCGATTGATTGCTGCTCTTATGGAGGACGAGAGTAGTGGAGATAGATTGTTAGAAGCCGCACGTAAACTATGCACTGCGTTCAGTGAATTATTGAAAGCTGCTGAACCTGAAAGCAAAGAACCGCCACAGAATTCGAGAATTTTTGATAATTTGATAAAGGCCACTGGCGAGGTGAGTGAAGCTACAACTCGTGTGTTGAGCACAATCGCCGAAGAGGACGTACCGGAAAATTATGATTTGCAAGATATGCTTCTTTCTCTTGCGAAAGCGGTAGCAAATACCACAGCTGCATTAGTTTTGCGTGCTAAATCCATTGCCGCCAGTTGTGAGGACGATGAGTCTCGAAATCGGGTAATTGGATTAGCCGCTCAATGCGCTTTCGCTGCAAGTCAAGTGGTTGCTTGTGCTAAAGTTGTGGCTCCCACACTTCATAACGCCGCTTGTCGCGAACACCTAGAAGGCTCTGCACGTAATGTCACACGTGCTGTGAAATACTTATGCGAAATGTGTAATGAAGCCACCAACGATCCTAAACTCAAAAACGATTTGTTGGCGGCAGCTCGCGATGTCTCTAAGAGTTTAAGTGACTTGATGGAGCATGTTAAATTGAGCTCTCGTGAATATGCTAATCGTACAAGTCAAGAAATGAGTCCCGTTGAAAATGTAATAATTGGAACAGACATTCTTGTCTCGTCAAATGACCCTCAAGAGATGGTACGCCACGCGAAGACGTTAGGCCAAGCTACAGCGCAACTTATCCAAAGCATTAAAGGTGAAGCTGACCAACAGCAAGATGCCGATATGCAAAGACGTTTGCTATCCGCCGCTAAACAATTAGCCGATGCCACTGCTAAGTTAGTGGAAGCCGCTCGCCTTTGTTCTAGTAATCCGCACGATACCGAAAACCAAAATGCCCTACGTCGCGCCGCTGAAGAGCTACGTGAGATTACCACAACTACTGCCAACACACCAGCTATTAAGCGCAATCTTATACGACGTTTGGAATATTGCTCCAAGCAGGCTGCCTCCGCTGCAACACAGTGCATTAGCGCCGCCCAAAATGCAGTGCAGCATAGTGACGACCATCAGACAAAGGAAACTTTGCTCCAGGATTGTAAGCGTGCGGCTGATACTATACCTCGCTTAGTTACTACTGTAAAAACTACTCGTTCTAATCCGGATGATTATAATGCTCAATTCAATTTAATTGAAGCTGCTGAACAGTTCATTGAACCTGCTGTTCAAGTATCAAGAGCGGCTCGTGCTCTTCAGCCGACTGTAACTGACATACCAGTTGCAACACAGCTTTCTAAAAGTGCTTTATCCTTAGGTCAAACCGTATCCGAACTAAATTCAGCAGCGTTGCGAGCTCGAGAAGCATGTGGAGGACAGGAATTGGAGTCAGCATTAGAAGCGGTACGTAATCTTCACAACGTTCTCGATGATACACGCAAAGCAGCTCAGTCGGGTACTCTGCGCCCATTACCTGGTGAAACAGTCGAAAATACTGCCCAACAATTGTGCAAGTCCGCGAAAAATGTCGGAATAGCTTTAAGTCAATTGATTTCTTCAGTTCTGCAAGGGCATCGATTGTATGCTGGTACAGCTGGTCGTGATACAGCTTTAGCTCTGGGTGATTTTACAAAAAGTGTTCATGGCGTTGCAGCCACTACGAGTAATCCAACTGTGATAGATCGCGCGGACGAAGTTGTTTTGAACTCAGCTCGTCTCATCGAAGAAGCGCAGCGTACTTTGCAAAATGTAGGTGATACTCATGCTCTGACACAAGCTGGTCGTGACGTCACTGAAGCACTTTCTAGAACGGTCGATTGTATACCAGGTCAACGTGAAGTCGATTTGGCGTTACGTAATGTTAGCGAGTTAAGTGAGATACTTTCAATGAGCGAATTTCCGCCATCTAGTCGAAGTTACAGTATTTTACAAAGCGAACTCAAGCAGGTGTCGGAAACTTTAAGTACTGCTGGAGCTCAAATCGTTCAAGCTTACGCCAGTCCGGCCCAACTTGCTGAAGCTAGCAATCACTTCGCTGCTAGTTATCGAGACCTGCTTTCAGTTTCCATGGAAATGGCCGGTCAGACCCCAGACGAGGCTGTGCGTTCTGAAATGATCAATTGTTTGCGTAATGTATCGACACAATCATGCTCGTTATTGTCAACAGCAAAATCCATTGCTGCCGATCCGGGTCAGCCAAACGCAAAGAATCTTTTGCATGCTGCTGCTCGTAGTGTAACTGAAAGCATTAATAAACTAGTGGACGCCAGTATACAATCAGCTCCCGGTCAAAAGGAATGCGATAATGCTGCCCGTAATATTGAGGCATTACGTGTTATGTTAGAATATCCCCATGAGCCTATTAATGACCAAGGATACTTTGATTGTGTTGAAACTGCAACTACAAAGTCACGAAATCTCGGTTATGCCTTTTCTGAAATGATCAACAACGCTAAGCAGTCTAATTACATTGAGTTTGCAAAATCGGTGAATGATGTCTCCGAATCTATTCACGGTTTAATTGAGTCTTCCGCTCAAGCCGCCTATTTAATTGGCGTTTCTCATCCCAGTAGCATTGCAGGTCGTCCTGGTATTATTGATCAGGCTCAATTGACGTGGGCATACCAAGGCATTCGTCAGCATTGCGATATTGTTAGTAGCCCAAAATCGTCCAAGCAACAAAAAATTTCAGCTCTTACAGTTATTGCCAAGCATACAAGTTATTTGTGCTCGATATGTCGTCAAGCCAGCATGAATACGAACAATCCTGTGGCAAAGAATGAGTTTATTGTTTTAGCAAAGCAAGTTGCCACGGCTACCGCAAACTTGGTTCAGGAAATTAAGGCCATTGAAGATGATCCGGCTACTCCATCACGAGCGCGTTTGGTCGAGCCATTATTGGAAGCAGTAAAAGCTGTGCGCCAATACGCATCTAGTCCCGAGTTTATTTCCATACCAGCCAAGATATCGGCTGAGGGCAGGAAGGCTCAAGAACCCGTCCTTAATGCTGCTAGAGGAGTCATCGATGGGGTAATTGAAATGGTAAAAGCCGCCAAATCATTGGCTTTATCACCAGATGATCCCCCGGTATGGCAAAAATTATCAAATGCTTCAACACCGGTTTCAGAATCTGTAAAACGTTTAGTGGATAATATACGGGAAAAAGCTCCGGGTCAAGCTCAATGCGATCAGGTCTTGCAAACATTGGGGACTTGTATGAGAGAATTAGATAGTTGCGCGTTGGCGGTAAATGCCCAAGGCTTAAGTCTACGCCGTGACAACAATTTGCATGGTTTCAGCGGTCAAACATTAAATTCTGCTGCTGAGTTGTTAGATAAATTAGAGCCTATACGCTTAGCCGGAAAAAATAATGCTGAGCAATTAGGTCATGCAGTCGGTGAAATTTCTCGTTATGTGGTGCCGATGGTAAATGGAGCTATTGGTGCTTGCACGCACATAGTTCACACAAATCAACAAATGAGCCTTCTTAATCAAACGAAGTCCGTGGTTGAAAGCGCCGTACAATTGGTACAAGCTGCAAAAGAATCCGCTGGCAATCCTAGGGCTTTGCATACGCACCCAAAATTAGACGACGCTATTGAAGGGACACGAGAGGCCATACAAGAGCTGACACAAACGGTTGAGAAGATAAACGCTGAAACTGGTGTTGTAACGGGCCTAATGGAACAAGTGAATCGCGCTATTACGCGTTTAACGGACAAGCGTCAATCATTGTTAAATGCATCGTACTCAGATTCGTTTGTTGACTATCAGACACGCATGGTACAAGCAGCTAAAGAAATTGCGCGCTTGGGTAATGAGATTAACGCTAAATCTAGCATAGAACCTAAACTGATGCCGCAATTGACTGTTGAAATGGCCAAACAATACACCCAACTAACCCAGGATTCGGTGGGAGCTTCTACTACTACAACCTCACCAGACGTGGCCATGCGTATACGAAGTACTGTCATAGATTTGGGTCGATCGGTTAGCTCTATGATACAGTCAAGTGCTGGAGGTACAAGACCTGGAGATACATCGGCGCAAAACGACATTTCACGTAGTGCACGCGAAATATCGGAAAAAGTTGCACAAGTTTTAGCTGCTTTGCAGGCGGGCTCCCGCGGTACCCAGGCTTGCATTAATGCTGCTCATACTGTTTCCGGTATAATTGGAGATTTAGATACCACAATCATGTTTGCTACTGCCGGTACGTTACATTCAGATGGCGATGGCACTTTTGCCGATCATCGCGAGCACATTTTACAAACAGCTAAAGCGTTGGTAGAAGACACCAAGGTATTGGTTACCGGAGCTGCTGGCACTCAAGATCAGCTTGCTAATGCTGCGCAAAATGCTGTTACAACCATATGTAAGTGAAATCAAAGTTGAAACAAAGTTTTCTAAAAAATTATAATTTTAGTGCAATTGGCTGAGGCTGTGAAACGGGGAGCCTGTTCTCTGGGTTCTTCTCAACCAGATTCCCAGGTAATGGTGATAAACGCTGTAAAAGATGTTGCCTCTGCCTTAGGTGATTTGATAAATGCCACCAAGTTGGCTTCTGGCAAACCTATTAATGATCCTTCCATGCAAGATCTTAAGGAGAGTGCGAGGGTAGGTCCACACAAGTCAAAAGACTCTCTTTTTTTTTTCATTTTTCTCTGTCTAATGCTTTCTTCTACCTGAGTGTAACGCTTTTAATGTTGTAATTATGCAAAAAGAAAAAAAAAAAACAAAAAAACTTGGGCACTTAAAACGATTGACAGGTGTTTCTAAGAGCATTATGTAGTTTTTGATTGACGGCATCTATAGAAATTTCACCGTCGCTTAATTGATGCGATTTTACAGTTTAGTTACTACTTACTCTTCACTAATTTGTTTTTCGAAATCTTCGTCATCACTTACAAGAAAAAAATATATACATATATCAAACAGAAGTGTGTATGTACCATAGCACGTAAATTTACATTCCATATTCAATCATTATATATCATTAAATAATAAGAGATCATCATCATCCTAATTGAAAATACAATAATTCCCTTAGTGTATGCAAAAGTTATTTTTCCTTAGTTGATTTCTTAATGGTTTCAGATTACCTAACAATATACCTCTTAATTAACTAGATGCTTTGCTGTAAATAATGGCTACTAAAAACTATTTTCAACTTCGGCTGATTGGTGCTTGTTTGTATTCCTTTCTCCCATTTTGTATTTGCAACTATTTATATATATCTTCTTCTCTGACTTTAGGCATTTAATATACGAGTGTGATATGATAAGTAATTGCATTAGGGAAGGAAGTTCTTTTCTTCTAACCTTCTTTTTTTTTAAATACATCTTTTCAATGCAATCTCCACTTTATTCTGGCGCGTACTGATTATCTTCAAGGCGTTCGCTGTCTCTTCTCTTTAAGTGAATCGTTTATTGCTTAGTCGTAAATCCATTGTAGTAGCCAGAAAAAAAAAGCCTACTTTTGTCTAGTCTTCTTTCGTATAGAAAGAAAATTAATTGAATAATAATAATAATAGTCGAGAGGGAAGCGTATTGTGAAGCGTATATTTAATTATTGAAAAAAATTAAATTTTCAAAAATGTTAAAAAATTGCAACACTGCAGCTATACTCGCGAGGTATCTTTAATTTAAATGGCCCTTGTGAGTCATACTAAATGTCTACAGCTAGAGAATACGTAAGCGATTTTAGAATTAGTGATTTTTCTACGATTGGCGAACGAAATAGTTCAGTATTTCGAGAAAGATGTCCTTAAAATTTTGAAAAGTCTTATATGCGTGGTTTTCCATTACAATAAATTTCTTATTATTGCTTCCGTTTGTCTGCAATGCCGGCACTATAAAAATGTCATTCTATTTTTCAATAGTTTTCCCCGCATTTTCGAAAGTGCTTGTCTTACACTCCAGTCCGTGTTGCGAAAGTACGATGACAACGGCGAGTAAATATATAATGCTATAGTCGAATTCAAAATCAATTCGAAAATCTTCATTTTTAAACTTTTAATTTCTTAGCAGAAGCACTAAATAGTTTCGAATCGCTCTCATTCTTATACAATACAATAACACAAGCCTTTTGGGAATTGAGCTTGAATGGACACAGACACATCACAGACATCTGTTAACATATTAGAAATCTCGCCTGTAACAGATAAGACATTATTTCAAAGATATTCAATTACTTCAATTTACTGCATTTTTTCCTCATTTTCACAAAGGTCCAAACAACGCGTCTCGTAAGCCAATGAAAAAGAAAGTTCTTTTCACCGAAAAATATAGTGTAGTGATGTATCACTCTTTATGTTCAGTGTTCGTGTTTGCAACTGAATGAAAATTTACTTCCGATCCACCGATTGTGGCAATACTTTCGTATTCCTGCCTTGAACTTGCTACGAAATTGTTTTCCGAAATATTTTGAAGAAAATTAGTAAGTTATTTTAAAAATTCTTCTAACCATTGAAATTGAAATGTTCGCTATAGTAATTATCTTCGCAATGAGCGCGCATCTTTGATTGAAAGTATCTAATCATCTCAATCATTTCTCTTCTTGTTCTTCTTGCCTCAAACGAAAATCTACTAATAACTAATTATCGATGAATGCAGATTTTTCTCTCGACATTTTTCCCCAAAACAAGAACAGATTTAACAAAACCTAGCCCGCATTATTCATTGCCATAAGGTGCAAAGTGTGTGCAAGGGAGGTATGAGCAAAAAGTAAAAATTTTCATTATCGATGGGCGGAATCAATAGTGATGCTTATCATATCGTCTCTTCGTATCTTCATGTCTATCAATTTTTTTTGGTATATATTTTTTTTTTTAATTATTTTTCAAGACTTTTGTTTTAATTTTTTTTTTTTTTTTTTTTTTTTTTTGTTTGTTTACGAAAAATTCTTAACTTCTTCTTCGCTTTTTTAATAGAAACGAAACGAAGATTTGGTAATAAACGAATTGATATGATTTTTCTTTCTATCCATAATTCTTTTTATTTCGTTTCTCATTTGTGCGTGCGACCATCTTTCAATCACATAAACATACAAAGATGCTTAACGAAAACTGAGCAAAATTGCTGCTATCGAAATTAACAACAACATAAATCAAAATGCCAAACTAAACGGACACAGTCGTATTGTTAATAACGATTGAATGAAAAACTACTACTGTTCGCGTCATCGCTATCTCCATAATGCACCATCTGCTGTCGCCATATTCTTTCACTATTTAATTTTAATAGTTTATAGAATATTATTTGATCAATTAATTGATAACGATTGTCTTCTCATTTAGCACGTTATTGTCTGTAAAAACAAAATGCATAAATCATAAATTTTGATGATTTTTAAATTACCTGCCAAACGCTTTGTATATTCGAAATTAATTTAGCTTTTAGTAAAGAATCTTCGATTACTATTTATTTTCGAAATGTATCAATTTATTACTAAAGTTTATTAGTCCTAGTTATAGTAGTAGTAGTAGTAGTAGTAGTAGTAGTAGTAGTAGTAGTAGTAGTAGTCGTGGTAGTCGTAGTAATCGTAGTAGTATTAATATTAGTAGTAGTAGTAATACTGCAAATAATAGTTTGTATCAAGCAAAAGCCCTAATATTCAGTAAGTAAAAGTGAAAACAGGTGTTACACGCATGTAGAGAAGAAATTAGATTTGTTTTGTATGCGATTTTTGAACACACATCCTCCATTCCTACATCATCAGGTGATGGTCTTAAATGTATCCTCGCTATTGAAAACAGTTAAAGCTGTTGAAGATGAACATAGCAGAGGTACGAGAGCTATGGAAGCAACTGTCGAAGCTATATCACAAGAAATACGGGTAAGTTACCTACTTGATGTTTGATCCTTTTATTTATGATGATGATACTTACATGTATATATATACATATATCATTTGTTTTGATTACGTTTAGGCTATGCATTCGCCGCCTCCAACGGGTAGTGCTCAAGTAGGCCCTGAGGATTTGATAAGAGTTACAAAGAATGTCACTTTGGCGACAGCTAAAGCGGTGGCTGCTGGTGCTTCCAATTTACAAGGGGATATTGTAGCTGCCGCCAATATGGGAAGACGATCAATATCTGAAATGTTGCTGGTTTGTCGTTCTGTCGCTTGGAATTGTGCTGAAACTGAAGATTTACGTCAACGTACGCTTGAGGCTGGTGCAGCGGTAGGTGAATCTTATCGCGAACTTCTAAACGGTATATTGCGTAACTGCTCTGCCGATGAGCGTATGCATTTATCGCGACGTGTAGCGAAATGTGTCACCGATCTAGTCGCTATGGCTCGATTGCTGAAAGGTTCCGATTGGATTGATCCGGAAGATCCAACTGTAATAGCTGAAAATGAGCTGCTTGGAGCAGCTGCTTCCATTGATGCGGCCGCAAAGAAATTAGCTTCTTTGCGTCCTCGACGCAATGATGATGTCAAGGTAAATTTCTTTTTTTTGTTTGCTTAAAACCTATTACCGTTAACCAACGTTAAACCAAATAATCGATGAATGACGAACGTTTACTAATTAATGCTTCAACCAATGCAGTGAAAATAAATTAAGCAAATTAAGCAAAAAAAAAAAAAAAACAAAAAAAAAATACTAATATGAAACTAAAAGTGTGAATGAGTATGAGATCTGTACTTAATAACCTTTTTGCTACTAACTATGGTACCTCTGGTGTTTGCTTTCAATTCCAACTACTGTTAACTCAACAACTGATAATTCCAGTTAGATATGTTTGATATTCTTGGTTGTTGCATTTTGTCTTTCACCCAGGAATCAAACATATTATTACTGTGATTATTAACTAAGCCACTAACAAAATGTATGTTCAATTCAAATTCATTTTTAATAATTATTTATAACGTATGCAATCCATGAATTTCTGTATTAATAGCTATTCTCAATATTCTCGCGTTTTACTTACAGATTGAATTAGATGAAAATATGAAATTTGATGAAATGATATTGGAAGCCGCTAAGGGTATTATGGCTGCTTCTTCGGCTCTGGTAAGAGCAGCCAATGCTGCTCAACGTGAATTAATCGATCAAGGCAAAGTGGCTAGACGACCTTTAACATCATCGGACGATGGACAGTGGTCAGAGGGCTTAATATCAGCTGCACGTCTTGTCGCAGCAGCCACTCATAGCTTAGTAGAGGCAGCTCAAAATCTTGTACGTGGTGTGGGCACAGAAGAAATGCTTATCTCCACTGCTAAACAGGTAGCTGCTTCCACAGCCCAGTTATTAATTGCTTGCAAAGTGAAATCGAATCCGAACTCGGAGGCGGGCAGACGTCTTCAAGCGGCTGGAAATGCTGTAATTAAATCTACAGACAATTTGGTGAGAGCCGCTCAGCAAGGTCTTGAAATTGAGGAGGAGCGCACTTTGAAAATTAATACATCGATGGTTGATGGTATGGCTCAGGAAATTAACGCCCGTTCTGATGTGTTACGCATGGAAAAACAATTGGAAGAAGCACGTCAAAAACTCATACATATACGACAAGCACGTTCGAGACAAAAGACCGTTCAAGGCTTTACAACTGATGAAAGTGATACAGAATACATTCAGTCATCATATGGCACTCTCAAGAGCCACAATAACGTACGTAACGTATGAATTTTAATATTTTTTCGAACGTTGTTAATAGCAAAAAATGTACCTTTGCGTAGTAAAAGATTAACACATATGCAATAATTAGGAGCAGTGTAATTGCGTAGGGGTTTTTAAATTATTCTCGTGCATTTAACTTTATCTATACGCGAACTAACAATGGCTTTTAACATTTTCCAATACAGACACTTAACCGTTCCGTTTATTATGGTCACCAGGAGCCATCGGCGTCACCCGGTTATTTGAGTCAACAACAGCAACAATCTAAACATCATTATAATTATACGACAAACCCTCAACACTTTCATCATCCGAGCGCGGTGTCACCAACTTTCTTAAGCCATAATAAGGATGATAATGATGCCACGGTATTTCCGCCGCCTCCACCACCACTGTCAACCACTATCTCTAACATGCAAACCGCAACACATACATTTAGAACTAACACTAAATTAACTGGCAACGCTGTGCCAAGGCCTTATCCAGGCAGTCCAGTGGCCGGCGGTAGTAGTTCACCTAGTAATACGGGTGGCAGATTATCGCACCCTACTAGTCCTCTAACACCTACTAATAGCAATAACTATCAGCAAACAACATATGATACGTCTACTCATAAAATTCACAAAAATTCTCAACAACAGCCTGCAACAGTTGTCAATGCCACGACACCCACCGCAACTGCAACGGTTACGAATTTAAATCAAGTGAATCGAAATTTGGAAGCATGTGTACAAGATCTTCATGATAAAACTTTCGGTCAAGGTGGCGTAGTCCAAATCACAAGTAACAGTTCTTATCCAGGCCATCAAAGTTACGAAGGTTACACCTCAAGGTTAGTGATGGAAAAAATATTAAATTTATTCAGATACTATACTGCAAACCGTTTCTTCAAGAACATTCTTCTCCTTACATTTTGTTTAAATTTTTTTTTTTTTTTTGAAAACTATATGGAATTTTTTAAAATTTATTTACACACATTCTCACCGATTACTCTTTTCAAATTGTAACGAAAAGAAGATTTGCGCTTAGAAATTTTAAAAATCATTTCGTCTTTTTGTACATGTCGGAATACATATATATATATTCGAATTTTGCTCAATAAATACTGACGTCTGCGTGTACAGGAACTTAACGGTTTCACGCAATTAATAATACCTTGCCTTGCGTCAGACCCAATTTCCATCGATAATTAGCATCCGTTCTTCCAATAAATCGTCATATTTGATAGATCAAGATTTTAGCATGCACTTTGGCGCCCACTGTGCCAACATTCGGCAGAAAATCCAAACGAGGTAAACGGAGCGGTTCGAGAGAATCGTTCTTTCGGTCGGTTTTTTGCTGCACAGCATTTGTCATTCAACTTGTCTTAAAACTTGATAGGACTTGGGATACATTAGAAACGAACCAGTTTTGCCTCCGCATCATTGTGCGGAGATACCAAAAAGTATTTTGCTTTTACTATTAGTCAAACCAGAGATCTGACGACCTCTGCATTGTCAGCTTTTTCATCGAACTTGAATATCTGTTTTTATATTTAAATTGACGAAAGAGTTTTTATTAATAAAAAAAATTTTTTTTTTGATTTCATAATCATTTATTTAGGGACTTTAAATATTTTAAATAATTTAATTTTTAAAACCTAGACCAAGTCCAAATTGAATTGACAACGACTAAAAATTTGAATCCCAATAAGGATAAGGGTTTTCCAAAAAAAGATGAGATCAAATAAATCCCGCTCTTCTTGCTTGGTAAACGTGAGGTTTCATCCATCAATCGTCGCGGAAGTTATAATATAGAAAATGACATGAAATTTCTTAAGGAGGTTTTATTTTAAAGTTTAATAGAGAATGAAGCAACATTTACATTCGGCTTGAATATGCTTACATTCTTTTTTATATAGATTATCAAAAGCTTTTTTCTCCTTTCAATTTTGAGTCTGATTGGCAAGCAATCGGCTATATTGCCAGGGAGGGTACCATGTCCATGTGTGGAGGCTAAAAATCATATGTAAAATGTTGCACTTTATTTATGTATGATTTCTCGATAATAGTGGATGTGAGATGTCGGTTTTGAAATTGATTCTAACAGTCGGTAAGGGAAAAGTTATCTCTAATCGGCTAATAAATTTGTCGACTGATGTTTGGTTGTTACATGTGATAAAAACTTAGTCACGATTTGACTGATTTTGCAAACTCAACCTACTCACTCACTTATGTGTGTGTGTGTGTGTGTGTGTGTGTGTGTGTGTGTATCTGACTGAAAATATAAAAAAATGGGTTTTATTTTGCACCTAATTTTTTGCAGCTACACTCGCGACTGCTTTATAAAACAAACTTTTTTGTATTGAAAATAATCGTTTCAATCTGCCACATATATACAATTCAATGGATTTTTTTTTGTTTTTTTTTTTTTTTTCATTGTCATATACTTTTTTACAATTTCTCGTTGTTTTTCGATTTCATTATTAGATATGAAACACGCAACTTTGATAAAACAACGGAGACGGCAAGCATTAAGCCATTGGAAAGCAGTTTCCAGCAAATGACGGTTAACACTGAAGGCGGAAAACTGAGTCTTATCGATCAGGGTTCAGAACGTTTAACATCAATGACTCAGCGCGTCATGGAACGTAAATCGTATACAACAACATCCGAAATGAGAACGGAAAAGAAAACCGAGTCTCATAGTTTTCGTTTGGAATAATGAATTCAAAAAAAAAAAAAAAAAATTACATTTTGCCAAAAGTGCTTTAGCTTATAAGAAATATTTTGTGTACGTATTAATCGAAAAATATATAAAATAACATTAACAATAGGTTTTCTATAATAATCATTTTTCTAATGCCAATGTTTTTGCCAATTGATATATTTAAAAAAAAAAAAAAAAAAAAACCTTTAATTTTTTCTAAAAATATATATATATATATATATATATATATATATAGATATATATATATATATATATATATATATCAACGTATAATGTGCATTGACAATCAAAAATCCGGCAAGGTACACGATTCACTAATCTTGCACCCTGAACATCGAAGACAGTTTTCATTCTATTCCTTTTTTTCTCCTCGTCTTTTTCCGATCCTTGATTGTATTGATGTCTACATATAGAGCAACACTCTTCCTCTGATTGTCTCAAACGAACGTGTGCTTAAACGATAATATTTAAGATAGTTTTCTAATTCTTGGCTCGTGCAAAAGGTTCTATTGATTTATCTGAAGACATGCGCCATGTAACGCCTTTTCACGATGAGAAAGGTGAAAACGTTGCAAGAGAAACAAATTTGTAAAGTGTGAGTGAACGAACGACGAAGGAATCAGTAGTGTTCTGCTCGATTTCGTTCCGGAAATTACTATATCAAATCTATATATCTCGTAGTACTTGAAAAAAGTCAATGAAATTTTTGCCAACTGATGAAGCAAGAACGGCACGCAAGCTGTCATGTCATGCCGGTATGTAACGGAATCACTAAGAGTCGTCAATAACATGAAATAATTCAATATAACCTAATATTGCCTATTACCGCCGCCAATACAAACGACTGCGAACCTTCTCGCTCTTCCTTCTTCGTTCTTCTTTTATTATTGCACTCTTATACGAAGAATTTGACTTTTGATATTCAATTGATTGAAATTGAAAATCGAAAATGAAACAAACATCCCATGAATTTGCTTTTAATGGGAAATCGTAGCCATTTCTTAAAGAATTCAAAATTTTATACCGTTTACACAGTTCACTGATTATTTTTGAATTTCAATTTTCTACATTTACAAAGCTTTAAAGAGAAAAAAAAAAAACAAATCCTTCATCCAATCCCTGATGTATTGGTAAATTTGCTTATTTTAAATCAATCGGATTTTTGATAATCACTTGCACAGTTAGTTATACCTATAGAATGCTAATCATGTATTAATGTGTCATCTATGTGTTTCTTTTTGTATTTTTGTAATTATATGTTCGTACTATCGTTTCCAATCTTATCAATGTATATGCAAGTAGATCTCTTTTTATATGCGAATTTTCTTTAAACATACATCAAGCATGCGTCAAGCATAAGCTTTTTTTTTTTTTTTTTATTTTTCTTTTGCACAAACATTTTTCGATTCTGATCATTGAACGAAATGTGAAAAAGTTGTATTTATTTGAACACACATTTCAAACATGTTATTAAAGTTAGTAAGTAGTTAGCCAAGTAACGGCGAACGGCTAACGGCTTAGCTAGCTTTAAAATATATTTGTACTGGATTTAGAATAACATCTTTTAAAATAACCCATAAGTGCATAATCGGCGTAGAATTTTGTTTGTTATGCTCGTATTTGTATTTCGCGTACATCGCTACACATACTCTCTTCCTGCCGGTGGGTGGATGCAAGAAAATTCTTGATCTTGATGATTGTAGGATTGCTCAGCTATATCCGATTCTATAAATCGGCTTTTCTATTATAATAATAATAATAATAATAATAATAATAATAATAATAATAATTTACAAAGCATGGCGTATCTCAGCAAAAGTTGAGCTTAAGTATGCCGGCTTTGTTAGTTTCATGCTTTTTCTTGCTTTGTGAAAGCAAGCGAAAAAAAGTCTATCCATCATTGTGTAGTTGAGTAATCACTTTTTCTTTTTCGGGGTCGAATTCATTTTACGCGAACTTTCCCGTAATACGGGCAATAAGTAAGAAGAGTTTTATTTGTGTATACCTATATATATATATATATATGTATGCGTAAGAGTATTCAGTGCGTGAGTTTATTCATTTTTGATTAATTAATAATTATTAAATTATAACCTTAATAACTAATCATGAAAATGTAATTATTATTATTATTATTATTAATTTTTTCTTTTTTTTGGGTTTTTTTTTTTTTTCAATGTAATCAAAAAAAGTATGATACGCACATGTATATGTATACACACATACACACAATAATATATATATATTCTTTTTCTTGCTTTTTTTGTATATACGTATACTTACATTCAATTACATGCTTATATACTTACCCAACTTGTAAACATTTTGTACGATCGCATGGTAACATAGCGAAGCGAACTTTTTGTGTTTTTATTCTTTTATGTAATTTTATTGATAATAAAAAGAAATTCTTTTAATTAAATAATAACATAATCGAGTTTCACTTTTATGAATATGTATTCAACAAGTAAGAACACACACTCACATACAGGCTTTCCGAAATTAATGCATAAACAGTTTCAAGTGTTTGTCGAACTTCTCTTATCCGACTTCTTAGATGGCTCGGGCACTTATTGAATTGAAAGCACTTTCCTTATGGTCGGCATGTCTATTAGGCGGATTGAAGTGTTAACTAAGTGTTCTAATAAATATTTGTTTCAAGTCATGCATTAGAATTTCCATCCATCGTTAAGGAATTTTTCAGTTAAATAACACGACGGGCGGACATAGCCAAATAAACTACGAGCTTTATACTCCCTGGCATATATTTCTGTTTATTTTCATATTTTAAAATCAAAAAAAAAAAAAAAAAAAAATATAGAATATATCTCGATTGTGAGCCTCCAAATAGCGATACGGTTTGCTTTCCTTGCGTTACTTAATGCTCGGGAGCTCGTGAAAGCGAGCACGTTTGTCATCTTTGCATTATTAACTAATATCTACGCGACTATTATGCTCTCATTAAATTTGATTATTTTTTATTCATTATAAATTATAAATCAAAAGAAAAAAAAAAAACAATAAAAAAATTAAATATAAAATAACAAATATAAATGCAACATAGTTTAATTTTTGGAAAAAAGAGGAGGAGGAGGAGGAGAAGAAGGAGGAGGAAATTGTCTAGAGAATTATTTGTATTCCAAATTTAATTGCCTTCCGATTAGCCAACGACGTATTTCTGAGGTGCCAGCACCTATTTCATATAGTTTAGCATCACGCATTATTCGACCTGTGGAATATTCGTTAATGTATCCATTGCCACCGAGCGTTTGGATGGCCTCCAAGGCCACCTGAGTAGCTTTTTCAGCGCAATACAATATGACGCCTGCGCAATCCTTAGAACTATTATGACCGCTATCACAGGCACGAGCGACACTATATAAATACGAACGACAAGCACTGAGAGTCGTGTACATATCCGCCATTTTTCCTTGCATCAATTGAAATTCACCTATCAGTTGTCCTTTTTGTTTGCGCTGATGCGCGTACTCGAAAGCAATATCAATAGCTGCTTGCATAAGGCCAACTGGGCCAGCGGCCAAAACCAAGCGCTCAATATCGAGTCCCGACATTAATACATAAACGCCTTTGTTTTCTTGGCCTAAGATATTTTTCGTTGGTACTTTTAAATCCTGAAATACCAATTCGCAAGTTGGACTGCCACGCATACCTAACTTGTCGAGTTTCTGAGCAACGCTGAAACCATCACTGGCCGTTTCAATAATAAAAGCAGTAATACTATGCTTGTCTGCGGTTCCCGTACCTGTTTTCGCATAAACAATTAGCGTATCGGCGACTGAGCCATTGGTTATCCAAAATTTTGTCCCATTTAAAATAAAATAATCCCCTTTACGTTCCGCTTTTAATTTCATCGAAACAACATCAGAACCGGCGCCCGGCTCTGACATTGCCAGTCCGCCAATATGCTCGCCGCTACACAATTTCGGTAAATATTTCTCTTTCTGTTCAGAGGTCGCATTTTTCGTCAATTGATTAACGCAGAGATTCGAATGGGCGCCATACGACAAGGCTATACCACCGGCCGCCCTATTTTCAATTAAACACAAAACAAATTATAAAATTATAAAAGTCTATATTCATAGATATGAAATACTCATCGACTAAATTCAAATTATGTCCTTTTTATTCATATGTAATCTAAATGAATTAAATTCCTATTAATATGAACCGTATGCGGACTTTATATGCAAGTCTTTGATAAGTATTTCAAAAAGTTACCTTATTATTTATGTATTGATTGTAATAGATAGATAGATAGATAGATAGATAGATAGATAGATAGATATTTGAAGACGAAATCTAGAGATTACCTAGAGATTTCTTCCATAATAATACAATGATCTAAATATGAGCCACCCGTGCCGCCAAATTCCGGTTCAGCCGTTATACCTAAAAATCCTAAATCGCCCATTTTCTTCCAGAAATTACGTAGTTCTCTACAATTATTTGAGAAAAATAAATGCGCTTTATAAATGAATAGATTATATGCATGTGTTGTTGTTTTTATTATTATTATTATTATTATTATTATTATTATTATTATTACTATTATTATTGTTATTGTCATTGTTCTTATCTATTTTGTATTCGTTTTAAGCACTTACGGAAAATGATCGTTTTTATCAATATCTTTGGCATGGGGGGCCAATTCCTTTTGAAAGAAATTGAAAGCCGTTTCACGTAATTTCCGTTTCTCTTCATTTAAACCGTATATATTGTCATTGACAGGATAATGCGATAAAAATCGTTTCGAAGCGTAGAAAGCTTTTCTTAAATTATTCCGTTGCAATAATTGTGGCAACGAGCATCTTCCACCACCAAAACGTAAACCCATTGTATTATATATCTAAATAATTATTCACCCGATCAATGCTAATTGTGTTTTTTTTTATTTTTTTTTTTCTTCTCCACAATATTTATTTATTCGATGAATTTACGATTATCTTTTTACTAATCGAAGTGGTATGATCGATTTTCGAACTATTTGAGATTTTATAATTTTAATGAAGAAAACAGATGCTCGAATGTACACGCAAAACTTTTATATAGATAAAGCGAAATCTCTCGCTCGATCATTATGAAAAATTTTAAAAGAGACAGGAAAAACAAAGGCAAGAACAATGACGGTATTTATATACAATACAACAACAAGTGAAAGCAAAGCAAATATGTCTCAAACGTTACTAATCAAGAGAATAAATGAAATGAAGAACCGATTAGAGAGGAAAGAGAGAGAGAGAGAAGGAGAGGAAGAAAAAGAAAATAATTCATAACACAATATGTACATATATATATGTCTCTTTCCAGATTGAGATTTTAAGCGACTTGGTGGAGCATATTTGTCGTCAATTGCTATTTTAAAAGAGTGAGTGAAAAGAGTAAGTAAATCTCTTTTCACATTCAACTGGCTTCTTTATTAGCTGCGGTTATGCAATGACACTGAAGAAAAAAATTAATAAGAATAAACACGATGGAGATCAGATAATGCAATTTTTTCCCGCATAAAATCCTTTAGAGTATTTCTATAGTCAAAAAAAACCTTTATTTCTTAGTTGAGTGATTTTTTCTTTTTATACCCTATACAAATTTTGATGCAGGGTATATTAAGTTTGTGCGAACAACTGTAACGCCTAGAAGAATCTGAGATATATCGATCGTTTCGCAATTATTTAATCAATCGATCTAAGCTTGTCTGTCCGTCAGATGTCTGTCCAGTGTATAGGTTGCAGTTTTCGAGATATTTTGATGAAATTTGGCGCCTAGTTAGAGATGTGTAAACTTTCAATCGGATTTGACAATTTTTTGAACCCTTTGCCATCTAACCCTTCCTATGGAAACTGAATTTTTATACTGTCTAAAAGTCAAATTTTCAATATTATTTCATCATCATGAAAATTTATTTATAATAGTAAATTGACAAAGAAGTCAATACAACCGCATTTGGACCATGTAAGTCTATTTTTTGAATACCACAGCACGTAAGACTTCTTACAAAACGTACGCCCTCACATGCTTAAAAAGCCTAGCTGTTAATGATGTATGATGAAAATTTGTTCGTTATAATAAATTGAAAAGAAACGTAAGAAATTTTGAACTACATGGGTCCATTATTTGGACCGCATTTTGTATAAGATTGAATAAGTAACACTTTAGAAAAAAATTTAATTTTCAATATTTTATGATGAAAACTGGTCCACAATAGCAATTTAGCAAAGATTTAATTAACATTAGGAAATTTGGATCAATAAGATCTGTTGTTTATTGCTTAGCATATAAAAGTATTGTCAAGAAAATAAACCACCGTTATATGGAGAGAAGGTATAATATCAAATTTTCTATGATCAAAACAAATGAAAAATAATAAAATTTTTCGGAAGTAAATTAAGTTTGCTAAATTTAAATGAGGTCATATGATGTTTTGGGCATCGTCTAATATCCGGGCTTTCATGAAAAGTATGACTTCGCATGAAAATAGTATGCAATTTTTGATGCGTTCTTACCAATACTAGGCGAAGTGGTGTAAGGCGTTCAATTGTCGACCTTGCGCGACTACAATATTCTTACATGTTTAATAGACAAAAACGATTTTCTTTTTTTAGTTGAGTTTTTTTTTTTTTATTTTTTACAATCTACACCACTTGTGGTACCGGCTATAATGACTTTGCGCGGGTCGGTTGTACCAACCCGAAGGACTTAAGGTAGGACTACTTTTTCTTCGATGTACCGATCGACTAAGATTCATTTACTAAATCAATGTATGGTTAAATGTCCGTCTCTTCGTCAATCTGTCGGTTTCGTTTCCTTTTAACTTCAACCTACAATTTTTGAAATATATTCATGAAATACGGTACACGACCATGTTTTGTCCCAAGAACGAAGCCTATTAAAACTGACTCGGATCGGACCACGCTTTCGACTACTTCTCATTTAGGTTACATGATTAATTCTGTTAAGCGACGTGGTGCAGGGTATTTGATTTAATTTAACGCCTTACAATATACTTTGTAATGTGCAACGTTTTACATATGCATTATTTCAAATCGATATGTAAAGATTTTTAGGCATTTTTTCAATTAGCGTGTATGTGTGTGTGTGTGATGTGTTATTTGATCCATCAGGATTACTTTTGCATTGAATTACATTGAAGTGCAATTGATAGCCATTTTATGAGGTATGGTCGAAGTTTTTATGTTCGCTTTATAATCGTTTTGAAATTCCATCTGCGGCCTTCGCCTGAGTGTATGTCAAATTTGAAGGGTTTATGTCTTTAAGGTAAGTTAAGAGACGGAGAGAGTTACATGGCTAAATAGTATTCAAATTTGACACAAAGCATATTGTATGGCATCTGTGAGGTGCTTTTATGTTCAAAATATTTACATAAATAGTTTGTTGAATTTTCGATTGGACAAAGGCATATGACTTACAGAAATTTGTTATTTCCTATCTAGCTGATGCATCGCATCCTCCACCACCCATAAGAAGAAGAAGAATAAAGCAAAATTTTATCTTCATAGAAAGTTAAAAAAAAATCCAAAAATGAAATTTCGAAATCAATAAATAAATTCAATGTAATTTAAATAAATATTAATATAAGTAATAATTATGTTAAGCATTTTATATTAAGAAATTCTTGCTAAGCGCAAGCATAGCAAGCAATGAAATGATATTGAACTTGAACACTTGTTGTTGATGATGTTACGCCTTTAATCCCGCCAATGTAAACATTTGCAACATAAAAATGCTCTTTGCAAACAACATAAGCAAAATAAAGAACTAAAGAAAAGAAAAAACAAAAAAAAAAAAAGAAAAGTAGCAGAACACTTATACACACATACACATACATTTATGTTGTATAAGAAAAGCTGTGTAAATATTTGTTAAAATCTGTTTAATGGTGCAAGTGAATGCTCTTTAGACAGAATGCAAGCATGTACTTGTACTAAATGTAGGGTGAATAAACTTAGCAGACTTAGCTAGTCATATGAATTCACATATTTATTTAAAGGTTAAACCGAATTAACAGATCTCTATATATACATGTGTGTGTGTGTGTGTGTAAATAAATGTTAGAAATTTCCTTAAAATTTCTGTGGACACCGAAAAGGGACCAAATTAAGCGAATATTTGAATTCTTTGAAATCGGCGATAATAGTGCAATCATTCACTTAAAGAGTATAGAGTAGATTATACAATCAATAAGAACTTTCTAGTTCTCTTTTAGCGATTGTCTCATCCTCATCATGACTGTAAATCTATATCCATAGGCTTACAAATCATCTTTAGTATTAGACTTTCATCTTTCCATCTCGGTTCTTCAGAATATAGGCGCTTCAATAACAGACACATATACATATGAGCATAATTGATAAGCCAGACATAGACTAATTGAGTTAAATCGCCAAGAATACGGAATGAAAGGAAAGGAAGGACAAATATGATGCAAAAAATGTTTAAGATAAATTATATTACGAGCATATTATATGCGGTCGTTTAAAATGTTATCGAACGGATGGAGAACATCATTATCATCGTTTGCGACAAACAGTCGTTACCTCATAAAATAATCGAAATGGTGAATTTCTTAACTAACTAACTCAACAACTGAGCCCTAGTGCGCATGATTGTTCAACAATTCGGAACATTGAAAGATAGTCAGTCAATTGACTGATTAAACGAATGCTCGACCATTACTTACCGGTGATTACAAACATGTGCCGGTACACCGTATAGTCTGGAATCCATTTATTAGGCGGATCTGTGTATAGTGATTTACGTCAGAGTAATAAAAAACGAAAGCTACGAAAGCGGATATTAAGGATACAAGGGTAAAAAAAAAAAAAAAAAAAAAAAAAAAAAAGACCAAAAATAAATAAATAAAAGAGATGGCCGAGAAAGAAAGAAAGAAAGAAGGGACAAAATAACAAATAAATAAAAACAAGAAAAGTATTTCAAATCAATGCATAAAATGGACCGTATCAATACAATACAAATGGCTAAATATTAATATTTCGAACAATTATTATTAACTAAGCTAAGAACAAAAAGAACACAAAAAAAAAAAAAAAAAAAAAAACAGTTAGCCTGAGTTGTGTGTTAACGTGGAAAGGAAAAATAGTTTTGTGTGCATTTTGTGTGCAATTTAACGCGTGCCGCGGCTACACTGACAAACGTAGGATCAAGTAATGGTATATACGGGTGTTATTTTCTATTTTTTTAATAGATTTGTTTAAAGTGAAAATCCTGAGTCAGTCAGTATTCATCAACTGATGACCTAATAATAATACACATTTAACTAAGATACTGATTGCGTTGTTAGTAAAATCGATAAAAAAAAAAAAGAAAAAATAAATAAAGAGAGTATTTTTTTTTTTTTTTTTTTTTTTTTTTTTTTTGCTTAACAGATGAAGAAAGATTAGGAGAAATTATTTCACAATAGATATTAAGTGCATTTGTTTTTCTATTCATTAATTCAAAATTTGTGAAATGCATCATAATTATTTATTTATAATATATTTATTATTTTGCTTTGATATATGTAAATCAATAGAAATTTAATTAATTAATATTATACTCGACAGATAGATCTATTAAATGGTCAAGGGTACGCATAAGCAAAGGAACGCATTTCATTTCATTTAATCGTTAATAGCCAGAACAACGTCAAAGTAATTGAATAAAATGCGTATAAAGTTTATTTAATTAACAAAAAGTGTCCTAAATATGGGAAAATGTCAATAAGTTAAGCGTATGCATTAAAAAAAAAAAAAAAAAACCAGATTACATTTCGAAGAAATTTTTGGCAGCTAAAGTATGTATGCATTTATTCAACTATATAGACGATGACGACGGCAATAGCAAACGGCAAACGGCAAAGGCAACGGCAAACGACAAACGACAAACGACATACGACATACGGCATACGACATATCATTCTGATTGAGTGCGTTTGTGTATTTATTGAAATTATTTCGAAGAGAACATAGAACGATTGCCAAAGAAATCTATTGAAATGCGTTTTAAAATGCATTGAAAAGTAATGGATTAAATTGAATTCTATTTATCGAACGAGCTA